TCGTTAAAATTTAAGAATATGCTTTATTTAAAAGCATATTTAGCCAAAAATAATAACAAGTGAATTAACTTAACGTTCTACACACCTATAAAACTTTTGCTTTGTTTTCTATTGTTAATTTATATACATTTTTGTTTTAAGAAATTGCTAAACATTTTCGTCTAGTACTGTACAGTTCTAGCCGATCTTCTAAGAACGCCCATCGAGAGCTCTGCTTGTTCAAGCTTGTTTCAACTATCTCTGTCTTGCTCACGCCTAGTGTGTATTCTTTCTGTCTTCGCGCAGATTTTTTCAAGATCACAATTCTAACAAATTGAAATACACTGTAAATGACTGAATTTGCCGTAGAGATAGTAGAATTTATTAGGTAACTTGTAATAATCTTAGTTTTGACGTGTTTCTTTAAAAATTATTTCAAGTTTCTTAATTATTACAATTAAATTTGTAATATCAACTAAAATACCTAGTAAATTTATTTCTGCTAGGATTTTATTTTTACAAATTCGAGTCCAAATTGTAATTGTTAATATTTTCGCTCACGAAGCAACGGGCTAGTGGGATAAATTCTAAATATCGCTTTAACATTCAGTTATATTCTTCCTTTCCATTTTCTCCGTGAAGCAATCAAAATTGACATTCCGCAAGCGCACATAGAGTGTATGGTATAAGATACCGTATTTTGATTTAAACTAACTCATATTGCTATTATCATAAGGAAAAAAGTTAAGGAATTGTATCTATCTATATTACTTTTAAGGTTTTCCCATTTGATATTTTGTTTCATTCTGAAAAACTAATTTATATTCCTAAAGATCTTGTTAGTATCTCATAAGGAAAAGATACTTTTAGTTTACAGTTTACTCTTGTCTGTTCTTCTATGTACATTTATGACAAACTTATCTGGGGTTAATATTTTACAGGAAATATTTATTAATCTTTTTGCATATTGTAGTAGTTATAACGAACATTAATTGAATATTATTTTGACAAAATTATTCGTAAATGCCCGATTTTGTTTTAATTAAGCGATTTCAAGCATTTTAGAAATACGTATATTTATATAGAGCGATAGTTATCGCTATCGAGGAAAATTGAAAATTAATTACATTAGACTGTGTATTGCTCTGTTAAACATTCTACCATGTGCAAATAAAGGTAAGCTCCTATGTAAACATGACAACCGTATATGTGTGTGGTAGGCGCTAGTGTATTCGTAGAAGTACACGAACTCAGACATTCATTACAGTCTAAGAACACGGTTGATCCATCAGGAATCAGGGGCGTAGCAAGGGACTGCTAAATGGAGGGTTGGAAAATTTGAACAAATAACAATATAAATATCAAATACAATATTAATTAGTAAAGATACTTGCCAAGAAAGTGGTCCGTCAACCACACGACAGTATTCTCCTCAAATCTAAATAACGTTTTAAAATCTGATTCTTGTGGTGTACGTCTAGGTTAATAGTATTTTCTTGTATGTAAACGCATTATATCGGCCATAACAAACACAACACTGGGACCACACAACTAACGATTACTTATACAAATCTTTTCAGATAGATTTTAACACAAAAACATAAATTTTTACGTTACAAGCTGTGTGATACCCGGGTAAATACTGAAAAGTTGAAAAGAACAAGAAAAGTTGTTGTGAACCTAGATTAATTTTATTAGAAGCAAATCCTTTAGTTTTTGAGCAGATGCTACTTTTTTTAAATACAAATTATGTAAAACCTTTTAATTTAAAACAAACCCTCGAAACAAAACCTTTTACTTGGCTTCTTTTTTATGCATATACCTTGAAGGAATTGCTTCAGTTTTTTAAAACAAATGGTAAGACTTCCTTTTATAAATACCACATATTGTGTTACTATCTATTTAAGGGTCCCTACACACCAGGTGACCGCACTGGGTCAATGATAACGGTTGCGTCAAATCAAGCGTCCAATTTTTTGACCATTTTAAAATTTTTAGATAATAGTGGTAGCCAGACGCTCAATGCGTATTTTCCTAAATGAAACAATAGGTATTATTGGCATTTTTTTTGTTACGTGTATCATTGGAAAACCTCGTTTGTTACGCTCCTGCGCCTCACCCACAACCCCACGTTTCGGGTAGCCGTTACTACTCCGCTCCGCTACAGTCAAACAGTCCTGAATTATTCGAGTTTCCATAATGTGAAAGGAAATGGAATTGTCACATCTAGACAGCCCGTTATCTGCAAAGAAAATATTTCGAATACGAGCTTAAATTGATAAAATGACATTGAATTTCCATTTGCAGAACCAGAACATGCCGCGGCGCCAACGGCGCCGGTGGCGACAAAATGATCGAATTTCATCGTTGCTACATTGGACGACTACGTGCGTCGCGACGTATATCGCGCGGCGACGGCGACCGGTTATAATACTGCGGAATGCCATCACTGTCTACTACATAATTTAGCATTATTTAATAAAAGCGACCGAAAGGAAAACAGATTTGGCATTTCAATTTCCTCCTTTTTCCTGGTTGTGTCTATGCAGATATATTTCAGTCAAAAATAAAAAAGTAATCGAATTGCGTGAAAGGAGGCTGCCGTTTATTAAATAAGAAAATAAAAAAAGTAAAAAAATATTTGTTGGTTGATACACATTGATATTCCAAAGGATCTTTCTAGATCCTTACGGAAAATAGGCCATTGTCAAACTCCATAAAACTTTGGATTCTGGTAGTTGTCGATGTGTAAATCCAAAGTCTCAATGGTCGTTTTTCCTTAAGGACTGCCAAGGAACATTTACAGATACCAATTATATACTTATTGAATACGCTCAAGTATATATATGCATATATGTTGATACCTAAACTACATATCGAGCACTACCAGAATCCAAAGTTCTAAGCAGTTTGACAGAGGACCATTTTCCGTAAGGATCTAACGGGGTTATTTGGCCGAACTGAAAGATAAAAAATTGGTCCCCATTAAGTTGGCCTAATAAATATAGCAACACCAAAGATTTCTAGTGTGAAATTAGAAAAGAAGCGACCAGTTTAAAAGTTGCTTTCCCCAATAAAAATCTTCAAACGGTAGACAGAAAAAGTTGATGGAATAAAGCTGGGATAAAAGTTTAGGTAGAAAAACAGTAGGAAATTAAAAAATAAAATTAAAAAGAAAATAAAACAAAGCTACCACCGCGCCGTCAGCTTAAAGATGTACCGATCGATAAATGTATGGTTAAAGTATGAGCGAGAACCAATCAATTCTCAAATTAATTATCATTTTGAAGAACTAAACTTAATAGACTAACAGTATGCGTACTTGGGCAGTAAACCGCACGATAATTGTGTTTTACGCATATATCATAAAAAAAACTAACGTAGTTTTTAGTTCTTTAATAACTCAAATATAATAACCCCAACGTTGTTTGCCCCAAAATTTCGTTACTGTCTCTTCCTAAATACTAATTAGTTTAATGAAGGCAAATACTTTACTGAATTATTTAATTAGAAACTTGTCATTTTAGGTAATTAGCTTGTTTTATTCTTATACCATCGTTAGCAATAAGTTCTTTGTTCCAATTAGTGAGTTGTTTGTATGAAAGTATAAAACCGTCGATAATTCGATTGCATATTCGCTTATTTGTTCTCTTCGATCGGGTTGTAAAAAATAGGGGTGCAATTTGAGCTCCTGGGGCGTTAGCGCGCCATTAAATGAAGTTAATAATCAAACTGCAGACCTGGCAGA